TGACCGCATTCATTTTGATGGGTCAAAGATAAATGACGTCTCACGTTACATTTCATTAAATTCAATGCACGTTTATTCAGTCCAGAAAAATGAAGAATCCGTTTTAATTGATGAATATATCTCAGCATCTGTTCATCTACACCCTGATAAAACAGTTTGAAACCAGCACCAATGCTGCGAGCCTTGCTGCTCTTCCACTTGGTCTCTTTGACACCTAAAACCTTCACCTTCCTTCTCTGCATCATGTCAGCAGCTCTCTGTCAGCAGCTCTCTACTTTTGCATGTCTGTGCAGTATGTTCGTTATCAATTTACCTCTGTCCCTCGCCTGATTAGTGAGTGGCTGTCTGCCATCTTCATCTTCCCACACAGCGAGCTGTTCCAACAATACCTTCAGCTGACTCCCTCTGACTCCATCTCTCGGTTAATTACCGCTCGTACAGGGGATGTCCCCCCCCCCTGGCCCTCTGGCCTTGAGTTTCAAACCATTGCTGCAGATCAACTGTTCCAGAGGTCACTGCCTCCTCCTTTACCTCTGACACTGATTGAACACACAAATGTTTTTTGACCTCGCTCTCTTATCCCCGTTTATGTCTGGCCTCCGACAGCTGTGGTCTAATCAGCTGCTGATCATTCTTCCTATTTTAAACGATGTATTACATTTCTCTCCCAACGTTCAGTGACTGAAAATGGCGTTCAGATCTCCTCCTGCCAAGATCACCCCTAAAATGAGAGCATTAAGAATGTTCAGCCAACGACCTCCTCTCTGCTGTCCAACCTCTGACCACCTGTCAGCTGCTTCCTTGCCTGCCTGATGATGTACCAACTCCAGACAGAGTATGTCCTCCTCCCTCTTTTAAGCTGTATTCAGCTTACTTCAACGTTTATGTACTTCTACTTACTTATTCCTGCTAATTTCTGAACATTGTGCTCCTTTCAGCTAATGTTTGGAAGATTCAGATATTTCTACTTACATTTCAGATACTATTTAGCTGTTTCATGCCAATATCAGCTAATTCCACCTTTCTTTTTAAATTAATCCAACTTTTACAGCCTAATTCAGGAAAACCAAGCTCTACCAACTTACTTCTGGTACTTTAAGATTATTTCTGCTTGTTTTAGCCATTGGTCTGCTGGTCTTTAGCTAATTGCCTCTGTTTTTTTTTTTTTAGATAATTCCCATATATCGTGCGCATTTATACTTATTTCATATTCAAAAATTTTCCATATCTTTTAGATTGTTCACCAATATGCTCTTAACTCATGTATCGATCCTGTAGACTTTCCACAGGAGTCACATGTTTCTCATTTATGAGCTCCATATCCGCTGACACAATTCACACAATCTGGCATTCAAGTGTTTTTATTCTCATGCACTCCTGGCTCCTGTTGAGAAAAAACAATTCACAAGTCTGAAACTCAGTAAGTCAAGACTTGTAATTGCTTTATACAACAGTGCCCCCTTTCGGTCAGGATATGGAAGCTCCACTCACCCACAGACACACACACAGAAAAAAGAAAAAAGTAACCCTTCGCTTCGCCCCCCCAGACAGACTCAGACATGCTCACTCCCCCCTCTTTTTTCTTTTTCCTATTGTTTCATCTCCCTCAACGCCTCCGGCCTTGAAGCCTTTACACAACATAGAAAACACGGCACAAACAATAATTACTACAACGTCCTAACCCTAATGTGATCCCTGATCACAGGAAATTTGGCAAAACTAACTAAGTCCCAGTCTTTCACATTTCCCTTTGAACTAAATTATTAATGGCGTCTTTTTGATGGGCAGTCAACACTCCATCACGGAAGACGCGAACCGTAGCTGCGGGTCCCCGACCCGGTTCCCGTCCCTCTCGTCAGAGGGACGATCTGTGAGACACCACCGCTGGAAAAAAGGGAAATATGTTGTTCACGTCCGACGCAAACCCCGGCAGGTCCCTGACCTTCCTCCGGCACGAGTCAAACTCGGGAAACTATCTACGAAATACACTTAAATGTTAAACTAAGCCGTGCAAAGGACACGCACGCAACGTATAACACCCAAAGTGTCTGAATACGCGTAATCCGTTCGTCAGAAGTACCACTAATCACCGTAAATTAGCTTAACAACCATCTTTATTTCCGGAGATGGTATTAAACACCCACAGAGGAAGATTTAATTTGGTTTACGGCCGAATAGCGGAGTTTTTTTGGGCCTTTCGGCCAACGTAGGTAAACCCGCTTACCTGTTAGTAGAAAATGATGGGCCCAAGTTTGCTCTGCGGGTGTCCAGCACCAAATCGATCCAATCCATGTGTCCACCAGCTGTACGTCGGGGTCACCATCTGTTGTGGCTTTCTGCTACAATCGTGTTCAAAACAGCTGAGACGGTCACCTTAGTTCAAAAGATTTATTTGACAAACAGGAGTTACAGGTATTCAGAGACAAACAATTACATTTGTAAAATATATGCATATATTTGGAGCATTAAAGAACGAACCGTCTCGGTCTGCGCTTCCCCGGAAATGCTCGCTGGACGTGTGTCATTTTCGGCTTTTATCAAAGTTTGAGAAGGCTAGTCCTCTGATTGGTTTAGACAAAAAGGTTGCTATGGATACTGTGCTCCTCTGCTCTGCCAAGGACATTAATGTCCACATTCCATAGATAAGGATTTTTATGGCTCACTGAAATCGGTTCTTTGTTTTAGCTCTGTTTCAGTTTAACTTGATTATACCTTATTGATACCAAATGATTTGAGTTAAAGTTGTTTTCTTTCTAGGAATAATTAATAACTATTAATTATTAACTAACTCATGTTTATGTGTTCTTAATTGATCCCTCTGGCTTATACTTGTGTTTCAGTTCAGTTGAAGTCACCCTGCCCCCACATCTAGCAAAAACTCTCTTGTAACTTACTGTGAAGATTAAACCTGTGTCCTCTCATCTAAACTGAACCTGTATCAAACAATGGTTAAACGATTAAATGCTAATTGTTATTATCATACGGACCTGAGGGATTTTACTTAGTCAAACTATATTAAGTCTAAATTAAAGAAATGTGTTCTAGGTTTTATTTATGTTAATCAGTCTGTGTGTGTGTGTGTGTGTGAGCGGCCAGGCCACCACATGCTCAGAGAACAAAGAAGGACTCTTCCCTGGCGTTAGTCAGTATCTTACCTGCTTGTAATATATCAAATGTGAACTTGTAAAATTATCATTAGCTAATATAAGATTATATGTAAAGGTAAAATAGTTAGAATTAGTAAACATTTTCTATAAATATAGTTCAACCCTTGAAGAAAGGCACGCACACACTTTGTATAACATGACATTTGAATGCTTGATAGGAAATATAAAAAGGTATAGAAATATGAAATCCAACACAGGGTTATACAACTACCTGTCAATGACTTCATTTAATATAAAAGTAGATTTAAAATCAGTAAAAACATCAGAACAACAACAAATCTGAAATGAGAAATATTTTTATCAGAGTGGTTATCCTCTTATATAGATGATCTATGATCCTGGGCAGTCAGTTGGAGCAGACAATCATCGTTTAGTATTCCTGACGTCCACGGACCCTCCGCACTGGTGACCTGTTTGTAGCTTGTAGTTCTTGCTAACGAGAGCACAGTAGTCCCTCGCTACTTCACAGTTCGTTTTTTGTGGACTCGCTATATCGTGGTTTCTCAAAATAAGATTGGACATGACACACAATGGCTGATTGATGGATGAGCCACACGATCTACATGGAATTTTTATTTAAAATGAATTATTTTAAATTATTTAGCATCTGCTGCACCTTTATGCAGCCCACATTACAGGAGAAATGTCCTCATGCAGCTCCTCCTCCCTCCTCTGTGATCTCCAGAAGGCTTCATCAGTCTGAGGAGTCCCAAGTAAACTGTTTTCCCCACTAGGCAGTACACTCCCTTGTCTTGAACCACTTTGGCTGTGGCTACCTGCCTGAAAAGAGTCGACAGCTCCCAGAAACCATCTTATCACCAGCAAACGGGTTGGTCCACTAAAGGAGTGTACTTATAATGTGAGAAAAACAATTTACTTGGGTAAACCCAAGTTTGACAACCAGTTTGACAAGACTGTCAACAAGAAAGAGGGCCGGCAATGGAGGAGGGGGTCATACCAAAGAGACCATCTTATCACAAGCAGAACTGGTTTGTTCCGCTTTGGAGTAAGCTGTTGGGGAAAGAATCCGTTTTGTTGTGTGTTTCCTTGACTCATGAAGCCTTCTGGACCGAAGGTGAAACGTTTTAGCACAAAAAAAATGAAACTGTCCCCATGGCCTGACTGAAAAATGTTGGATTGTATACCTGGATTATTGAGCATGGACCTTGTTAATTTACTTGGGACTCCTCAGACTGATTAAGCCCTCCGGATAGAGGGCGAAACATCTTTCCACAAAATTCAATTCAATTTAATTAATTTTATTTATACAGGGCCAAATCACAACAAAGTTGTCTCAGGGCACTTTACAGGAACATTCACATACTGTAAAAGGGGGACAGTTGAACCTGGAGGCCTCCACCCCTGTTTAATGATGGACGATTTCTTTTCACAAAGATGGCCTCCTTTACGCCTCTCTCAAACCATCGTTCCTCTCTGTCCAGGATGTGAACATCTTCATCCCTGAAAGAGTGACCGCTGGCCTGGAGATGAGTGTAGACTGCAGAATCCTGGCCTGATGATGTCCAACTTTAACCTCAGCTCATGCTCTTGATTTTCATCCTCTCTTTCTTCCTCAGGATCCGGTTGCACAGGCCCCTCATGAGCTTACTTCCTCAGTTATAAACTGAACAAATACAGAAAGAATGCTAATCTGAATGTGAAGTTCTCGCGCACCTAAATCTCTCACATATTAAGCAAAATAGCTGTGCTTCAGAGGCTTTATCACTCATAAGCCTAATCACAAATATGTGTTAGAAACATGGAGAGTTAAAGGGGTATTGTGACATGTTTGTTTAATCAGATGAATTAAAACCATCAAACTGTATTTTTCAGGACCGCTCCAGAATGTATGACAGTCTGAACATGCACTCTTTGGAGAGCTCTCTGATTGACATCATGCGAGTTGAGCAGGATCCGATGAAAGGTAAGATGGCCTTTCCCTTTCAGTCTTGGTTTGCAGGGTCAGAGGAAGGTGATCCTGTTCAGGGAGGTGACCAACATGAAGCAGAGCAACTTGTTACAAGGACCCATCGCTCCCAGAGCAATGTTGTTTTTCCACACAAGCTTATTTTCTCCCTGCTGAGAGCTTAATGCTCATGCCACCAGCTGCACATTTACCTGACCGTAAAGCTTTGATCCCGTCGCTGCTTAACTTGGGCAGCACACAGATCTGAGTAATGAAGAAGAAATACAAGAGGAAGTTTGAAGTTGTTCTTCAAGAGGAGTTAGTGAAGATAACTGCCACGGTTAAATTTAGATTGATTCTTTTTAAGATATATACAGGAATTAATCCTGTGTTTCTGTTTGAGTTATTTGTCACGGCTTGGCAGTGGCAGGCAGAGAATGTACTGTAGTATGACACTCCCGGCCTCCTGCACTCAGCTGCTGAACATCAGATGAGCAGTGTCAAATGTCTGCATTGCTCTGATCCTCTTCTCCTACTGTCAGCTGCCGTGAGCTCATTTACAGCCGTCTAAACCCTAAACTCTCTCATTTTACAATACTGACAGACCAGAGGAAAAACACATGTACAAACTAGGTAGTTTTATGGGTGTGCATCTTTATTATTTCTCCACCTGTACGCTCATTCCTTGCTTTTCGTTTCTTTTGTGTTTTTTTTTTTTTTTTTGCTGGAACAGATGGAGAAGACATGGATCAGTGTGCACAGCAAAGAGGGGGTGTGGGCTTTAGTCTAATTCTGGATTTGGTCACACTTCCATGCACTGTTTATGACAGCCAGAGAAAGAGAGTGAGAGAGGGTTTGCAAGGCTCTGATTGACCATTTATAGGCTGACATAACAGCTTCAAATTATAAGTCCAAACTAGGGGTTGAACGACTACATAATTTTTAAACTCAACATTAACATAATACAACTCAAGTAGAGCTCGAGTACTTGATGACATCATAGGATCTAAAGATACAAGAAAAAAAAAACTGCAAAAAAGGTCATAATTTACTAAAAAGGACCAACAAAAACATTGGGAGTATGTATTATGTTCCTACCATTTATCATACTGCAAATAAGTCACAGAAAAAACTAAACTATTAGTTAACAAAGTCCATGCTCAATAATCCAGGTATAAAATCCAACATTTTTCAGTCAGGTCATCTGGACAGTTTCTTTTTTTGTGCTGAAACGTTTTGCCTTCGATCCGGAAGGCTTCGTCAGTCAAGGAAACACACAACAAAACTGATTCTTCCTAACGATAACTAAACTATTAGTTATTATTATTAAGCTGCAAAATTGAAAGAAACATGTGGCACGTCAAAAGCAAAACTAAAAACAGTGGGGCGGACGACCATCCCACACCACCGCCAGCTGTGGTGTGCATTAGGTTTAGTTTTAGAGATTAATATGTTTATAGGTTTTTTAAATAGGTTTAGAGATGAATATTTAGTCCAATAAAAAGACTCCAGGTCCAGATGGATTTCCAGCAAAGTTCTACAAAGAATTCTGGAATATCTTGGCACCACTATTTCACAGAATGCTACAGGAAACTGAGAAAAATAACAGACTTCCAGAAAATATAAACTTAGCCAACATTAGTCTCCTGTTAAAACAACGCAAAGACCCTGTATTACCTACCAGTTATCATCCCTTATCAATGTTGATCTTAAAATAATTTGTAATGCCCTCTCAAAAAGATTGGAAAATATAACTCCTCTCATAATACATCCTGAACAAACTGTTTTTATAAAAGGGAGGCATTCATCCACAAATTCACGCAGATTATTTAATTTAATGGATTATTCTTACAGTAAAAACTTTGACACTGCAATATTCTCTCTAGATGCAGAAAAAGCTTTTGATAGAGTTAACTGGAAATTTTTATTTGCAGCCTTGCATAAATTTGGTTTTGGAAATTATTTCATAAACTGGTTTAGGGCTGCAACTAACGATTATTTCAATAATCGATTCATCGGCCGATTACTTTTTCGATTAATCGATGAATCGGCAAATAAAAAAAACAATGTTTTAATTTCCACCCCTTTATTCCAAAATTGAACATTTGACTGACATAGCAATTCGCACACACACACATAAAATACTTAATTACACACATTTGAGTAGATGTAATAAATTACTTTAATTCCTGTTTAAATGCAATTCATCCTGCCATACCTGCAGTGTCTTCAGTCTTTGCCAGCAAATTAAAAGTTGAAGCTTAATCATTAAATTATTATCTTTGTGTTAGATTTATTTATAAATCACATTTAAACACTGCTTGTACCAATTAAATTAAATAAAAAGTAACACACACATTCTCTATCACCGTCATTAATCAGCAAACAAACAAACAGCTTCATCTACCAGACAGATTGACGTTACGTTTTCTCTCTTGGAAACAGAACAATGTGAATATTGGAATATTGTAGAGACTCACCTGCAACACAGGATGAGTTGTATCAGCTGCTGAGCTCCTTCCTCCTCCTCGTGACTCCGACATGTTTATCAGCGTGGTTCTCCCATGTCGTGTCGGCGATTTTCAAAGCGGCATGCTTTTCATTTTTTATCTTTGTGAAGTTCTCCCACACTTTAAAGGACTTGGGTCGAACAGTTTTCGCTGCGTCGGTCATTTGTAAAATTTACTTAAATTTCCTTTGAAAACAGCCTCTGCTCTGCCTCGCCCCTCGCTCTGTTCAACTTGCGCTGCAGTTTTTTTGTTTTTTTTTCAAACTTTATTCAGTCAGTCAGCATTGACAATGAACTGCCCGTGAACAAAACGAAACGGCTCCGCAGCGCCGTGAAAGACGCATAATCGCGCAACACAATGAATCGATAATGAAATTCGTTGCAAACGCTTTTAATCATCGATTTTTATCGATTTTATCGATTCGTTGTTGCAGCCCAAACTGGTTAGAAATATTATACAGTTCCCCATCAGCATGCATTAGGACAAATAGTCAAATATCTGCTAGCTTTCTTCTGCAAAGGGACACCAGGCAGGGATGTCCACTCTCCCCCTCACTGTTTGCTATTTTCATCGAACCGCTAGCCGCAGCAATCAGGCAAACCACAGATATTAAAGGCATAAAATGCAAAATCGTAGAGCACAAAATCAGTCTACATGCTGATGATGTGTTGCTCTTCCTTCAGCATTCACAAACCTCCCTCTCTCAGGTTATTGGATTGATAAACTCTTTTTCAAGAGTTTCAGATTACTCTATAAACTGGATAAAATCCACAGTTCTACCAATTAATTGCTATTTCAACAATTCACTTACTACACAACTGCAGTCAGGAAATATTATGTACATGGGTATCAAAGTCTCTCCTAGATTGGCAGATTTAACAAAACTAAACCACATCCCACTTTTAAAGAAAATTGAGGATGATCTTGTTAAATGGAAATCTCTACCCTTATCTCTCATGGGAAGGATCGCATCAATAAAAATTATGGTTTTGCTTAGAATAAACTATCTATTCTCAATTATCCCAAATAAACCATCATCTGACTGGTTTAGATCCCTGGACTCCTCCATCTCTAAATTTCTCTGGAAAGATAAACCCCCACGTATTAAACTAAAAACACTACAGAAGACCAAAGATAAAGGAGGACTAGAGCTACCCAATTTCTATTCTTACTTTCTAGCCAATAGGCTAGAATACATCTCAAGATGGATAAAAAACACACCCCTTGATGAACCCTGGCTAGACGTAGAACTGACACTTTGCAATAATATAATGATTTCGGACCTTCCATACATTAGCTCAAACATAAAACGACAGGAATGTTTTAAAATAATCAATATCAGCTCCTCTCTGACAGCTTGGTGGGAGTTTCTTAAAATGACAGAGTCTTCACTAATTCCATGCAGACGTACACCCATCTGGAACAACCCTGACATCCTACAACAGAATAATATGATAAACTTCCCAGGTTGGAGGTGTAAAGGAATCGAATATTGGGAACATATATATGAGGCAGTAGATTATATCTCATTTAACAGATTCATAACACAATATGGATTGATAAGAATACATTTTTAGAATATCAACAAATTAAATCTATAACAAAAAATAAATTTAACCTTAATAACACTAGAATTTAAATACCAACAAGTGTATTAGAATTCCTAAATCTTAACCCTCCCAAACCCTCTTAACCCTTGCTAAGATTTATGGGACACTCATTAAACTAGATGAATCCATATCCCTTCCCGTTGTAAAATGGGAGACAGACTTGTCAGTCAACTTTGACCAAAACTTCTGGTCTCCGATATGTCTAAGAACTTTTAAGATGATTAAAACCCCCAATTTACAACTAATACAATACAAAATCCTTCATAGAGTACACTACACAGGTCATCGGATGTTCAGGATGGGTTTCACATCATCTAATGTTTGCTCACAGTGTACAGACAATATTCCTGACAATTACATCCACGCATTTTGGTTCTGTCCACCTGTTCAGAGGTTTTGGTGCCGGATATGTGAAGACTTATCAAAGTGTCTGAGATGTAATATTCCACTCTCTCCATCAGTTTGCTTATTGGGCCACTTAGATGATGTCACCTTGGAGACAAAGTCAATTCACATGATTTTTACTGCTTTATGTATAGCAAAAAAAACTATACTCATGAATTGGAAAAATAAAAATACTCTTGTTTTTAAGACCTTTTGTTGAATTACATTAGTCTTGAGATAGCCTGTACCTCCACATCAGACAAATCTCTCTGGGCTTCTTTGATTGGCTCCAACCCGTAGTGGAGGTGGGTAAACCGCTTTGATTTCGTCCTGTGGGGCATCGTTGTTGATGTGGGGGGGTATTGGAGCTGGAGGCATTGGGGGGGGGGGGTAGTGGGCCCGGGGCAATGGCGCTCAACTGGGGAGGTGGCTTTGGTGGTTCTGGGCGTTGACCTCAGCTGGCTGCATGCAGGCTTCTGGGCGGTCAGTACCGGCGGGCGCAGGTTACTGGCCT